TTCCTTCCTTCCTTCCTTCCTTCCTTCCTTCCTTCCTTCCTTCCTTCAAAAAAGGAATGTTCTGCCAGGAATTGGTTGACTTAGATGTCCAACCTCTGACTTATTTCCAGAATTTGAACACAGTTACTAGTTAATGGATACTATTTCATCATTCTGATATCATAAATCAACAATAAAAGATACGACTTGGAAATCACGCACCTTTTAATCGCAACCAGTGGGATGGTTTGAAGGTGCTCTGATACCTGTCTTGCCCAAAACTGCACCCTCTTCCCTTGTCCTTGTCCAAATTTGGTTAGGGTCCATGTCCAACCGATTAGGGTTTTATGTGCTGATGGTCGTATTCAACCTTTTTTGCACAGAAAGTCAGAAGTCTTTGTTATAAATCGACGGGGCCCTATAGATTTTAACACCCCTCATAAATCTTCTTCTTTATGGATTGGATTAAGGTCAAAAAGGATTTTGATGGATGGCTTTGCCACAAATAATTAAACCTTGTAGAAGCCAATTCTCTTACCACTTTTCCATCTACAAGCAAACTAGTCTAATCTCTACAGCAAGTAACAAACAAACGGGTTTGCATAGTTGCAGACACCCAGCCTCTGCCTTTTACTCATCAAGTCCCAATAAGAATATAACAGATAACAGATAATCAGAGTTGGAAGGGACCTTGTAGGTCATCTAGTCCAACCACCTGCCCAAGCAGGAGACCTTACACCATTTCTGACAGAGGGCAGTCCAATCTCTTCTTGAAAGTCTCAAGTGATGAAGCTCCCACAACCTTTGAAGGCAACTTCTGTTCCATTGGTTGATTCTTCTCACTGTCAGAAAGTTTCTCCTTATTTCCAGGTTGAATTTCTCCTTGACTAGTTTCCATCCATTATTCCTTCTCTGGCCTTCAGGTGCTTTGGAGCAGCGGTCGCCAACTGGTGGGCCGCGGCACACTGGTGGGCTGTGAGAAAATTTTGGTGGGCCGCAGAGAAATGTCACCTCCAGAGCACCCCCCCCAAAGCAATTAATCCAGGCTGTGCAGAAACACAAACCTGTGCCGCCCACATGGCCCGAGGGAACCTGCCCCGCCCACTCACTCCTTACCTGGCAAACTTGCCTTTTAAATTTCTATTTTTCCTTTTTCCGACCATCATCTGTTCTTGTTGTGCGGGAGATTTAGATTAGCTAGGAAGCAGGAAATGGTTGGATTTCTTGCTTTCGAGATAGCCTTTATATCTTCGTTTCTACTTTTAGGTACAGCCAAACCTCCCTTAGGACTGAAGGTTTGCATGCAAGCAAATTCAGTGCAGACTCACGGCAAGCAAATTTAAGAGACTGAGCTAGCCGATGGCAGATAGATAGATCACTGAATGATTCTGTGAGCAACTCAATCTGCCTGCTTTGCCTGATTTGGGGTAAAAGTTGCTCTTTTTTAAAATTAAAAAATCAGTATTTACATGCATGGTGTGTTGTGAGTTAATTTTGTGAGTTTGCTTGCAAGCAAATTTTATGTGACAGACTGAGCTAGCCAATGGCAAGATAGATAGATTTCTGAATGAATCTGTGATTCTGTGAGCAACTCAATCTGCCTGCCTGCTTGGCCCGATTTTGGGTAAAAGTTGCTCTTTTTTAATAAAACATTCAATATTTATATAAATATTTATAATATTTACATACGAGCCATGCCCAGCCAGTCACGTGACCACCCAAGCCGCACCCACAAATTAGGCCACACCCACAGAACCAGTTAGTGGTCCCTGGGATCTAAAATTATGAGTTTGGTGTCCCCGAGGTCCAAAAGGTTGGCGACCCCTGCTTTGGAGAATAGCTTGACCCCTTCCTCCTCTCTATGGCAGCCCCTCAAATATGGAAAGGCTGCTATCCTGTCTCCCCTGGTCCTTCTCTTCACTGGACTAACCAGGCCCAGCAATGGTTCATTGTATATTTTAGTCTCCAGTCCCCTCATCATCCTGGTTGCTCTTGTCTGTACTTTTTCTAGAACCTCAACATCTTTTTTTATAGTGTGGTGACCGAAACTGGATGCAGGACTCTGGGTGTGGCCTTATATGAATGGAGCACAGCCGATCTTTGACCTGCGGCCACAATTTGCGTGGCTAAACTGGACTCTTGTTTAAGTAAAGGTTGCTCCATTTGGCAACCTTTCTTGCAGTGGTTAAGGGAATCGCTGCAGGTGTGAAGTTAGGAACACGGTTGCAACGTGAATCTGCCCCCCCCCATTGGCTTTGCTGGTCAGGAGTTTGCAAAAGGGGATCAGGTGACCCCTGGACACTGCGACCGTCATAACTATAAGTCAGTTTTCAAGTGTCTGAATTTTGATCCCGTTTCCACGGGGATGGGATGGGTTGGGACAGGAGATTGCTGGAAGGGACCTTGGAGCAGAGGTGGGTATTCAGCTGGTTCTGACCGGTTCTCGAGAACCGGTAGCGGAAATTTTGAGTTGTTCGGAGAACCGGCCAATTCCCCTTCTGACTGGCCCCGCCAACCCCATCTCTTCTCTGCCTCCCATCGAGTCCCAGCTGACCGGCTGGGTCTTCTTTGGTTGCCCTGCCCAGGAGAACGGAGCTGGAAAGCAGGTTAGTGGGGTGGGGAGGGAATGGGGATTTTGCAGTATATCCTTCCCCTGCCACGCCCACCAAGCCACACCCACAGAACCCGTAGTAAAAAAATTGGAACACCACCACTGCCTAATCCAACCCGCTGCTCGAACAGGAGAATACTATTTCAGATAAGTGGCTGTTCAGTCTCCTCTTGAAAACCTCCGGGGATTTAGCACCTACAACCTCTGGTGGCCAGCTGTTCCACTGGTTAATTGTTCTCACTGTTAGGAAGCCTCTCCTTAATTCCAGGTTGCTTCTCTCCTTGATGAGTTTCACCCACCGTTTCTTGTCCTGCCGTCAGGTGCTTTGGAAAATAGGTTGACGCCCCTCTTCTTTGGGGCAGCCCCCCAAATATTGGAAGACTGCTCTCAGATGCCCCCTCGTCCTTCCTTTCTTTAGACTGGCCATGCTTAATTCCTGCAAGCCTTCTTCCTATGTTTTAGTCTCCAGGCCTTTCATTATCTTAGTTGCTCTTCTCTGCACCTTTTCCAAAGTCTCAACCTCTTTGTTTTTAATGGGGCGACCAAAACTGGATGCCGTATTCCAGGTGTGGCCTTACTAAGGCTTTATAAAGCGGTAGTAATACATCATGGGGGTTTTGATTCTACCCCTGTGTTTATACAACCAAGGATGTATTAGTTTTATTTGTGGGGGGGGATGTAAGTTGTAAGTATGAAAAATTTGATTGTGAGGATTACCTGGGCAGCCACTTCTTGGAGCAAACAGGGCAGACTTAGAAAGTGTAAATATTTCTAGATTGTATGTACTCCGTGAAGGATCTTAGCTTGCCATGGGTCTCTGCTGAAGCATCATGTATATATAGTTTTGCTTGATGTTCTCTTTGGGTCCTTTGGTCTCCTGAACCTGGATTTTATTTACAGCCTTCCTGCCTCCCAGTCCCTTTTGAATTTAATAAACAACCGTAAAAAGGGAAATAAGAAATGACGAAAAATATTCGATGAATAAACAAGGGGTTGAAAAATACAACGGAAGTGTTAGTTTCTCTATATCATTAGGTCGCCGTGAATGGCTGAATATATGACATTGCTTTACAAGACTAAAAAAAAAAATCTATTGAGCTCTTAAAATGAGCAGGATTATCAAGAAATAGGGCCAGCAGGCTATAAAACTCACAGGGGAGATCTATAAACTATAATAATTTCAGTTCAGGTTACTAAGAATCTGTTCTGATTCAGATATCCTGTAAAATTGAATTATAGGTTCTTTAGATAGATAACACAGATAGATAGCTCCCTGGATGAGAAGGGAAATGTCTTCAAAGATAAAACAAAATAAAACCAGGAAACGCAGTTGCTTCTTGAAAAAGCCCCTTTAGGATTTAACTCATCCCATCTTGCGATGTCCGATGTAGACTTTGTGTAAACTTTTGGTGGCACATTCTTTTCGGGAGTGGTACAGCAAATAGGTAAGACGCAGAGCAAAGCAAACCGCAAACATATTTCTTTTGCCTTAGATGAAGAAGAATAAAAATAGCAACCTCTTGGCCGCGAATAAATCTGAGATATTTATGGATACAAACCAGGTTATTGCTATTTAATTGCATTGCTTTTTATAAACAAAAACAACAACAAGCGATATTTTCAGCTTTGTCTGATGAGCAGCTTAATTCTTTTGGCCTGCTTGTTTCCTGTTAATTTGTTTAAATAAGAGTTGCACTTTGCTGTTCTGTTCCACTTGGTACTGTCAGGGCTGTTCTATTAGGTTAGGCGGTTTCCTTGCTGGGTGAAATATAATTAGCATTAATTCCTCCAGCTTCTTAGGAGACTGAGGTGTTGTCAGTGCCTTAATGTGCCTTAATCACAAACAACTCCTCCTCCTCCTCTCCTCCTCTTTCTCCTTCTCCTCCTTTTCCTCCTCCTCCTTCTATTCTTCTTCTTCTTCTTCTTCCTCCTCCTCCTCCTCCTCCTCCTCCTCCTCCTCCTCCTCCT